CAAGGACTTATTTGTTCCAAAAATTGTCCAATGACTTATTTAACATATTTTGGAATGTTCAAGGACTTATTTAACATGTTTTGGAAAGTTCAATGACTTATTTGTTCCAAAAAAAAGTTCAAGAACTTAATCATTCCAAACAAGAAAGTTCATTGGTTTTTATTGTACTTTTTCCATACAAATATTACAAACATGGTGACATCTATATAAACCCAGGAAAAAAAAATTGTTAGACTAATTTGAATAGGTGAAATGAATATTTAATTAAAATTTCATAATATATCTCTTTGTATAACAAGTCACTGATTGTAACTTCTCATAAATTTTTTATATAAGCCCCTGAGGTAACATAAGTTTTTGCGAATATGTCCATATGTTTCAAAACATTACAATTTAACCCCTATAACTTTGGTTTTTTTCAAATCAATCTTTAGTAGTTCCAAGTTTACGTTTTGGGCAAAATTGGCCCATGAAAAAAAATATATTTCTACGTAATTATCCTATTTCTCGTATAAAAGTTATAGGATTGAGTTTAAATCTTCCATATAATATTTGTAAGGATATCTCAAACTTTAGAAGGACCATATGATGAATGAAATAGTGAATATCACTGACTTATAAAAGTATACTTGAAAAGTCTACACAAACAGACAATAATACTTGGACCCAATTGAAAGTTGAAAACTTTATGCCAGTCCAATTGCAACATTAAAGTCGATATGACTGAGTAATGATTCTACTCATCAATATTCTTCAAAATAACAACAATTTATTTTTAATCGCTTATTAAACAATATTAACATGAAAAAGACTCATTATTTCCTTTCAACCAACTTTGTGTGCATACAAGCGCCTCCACTATTATTTTTGACTCAAAGAGCTTCTGAATGAGTCCAACATACAGCCGCTAGTACTAAAGGTGGATTCAGGTGATACGGTAGATATAGGTATAGCAAGAACATCTTTAGCTATCATATAGAAAATGCTATACCTATTAACATTATCTTTCCATCAAAGTAATATATCAACTAAAAGAGCCTTTGGATTGATAGATTCATTAAACAAATACCTATCAACATCATTCATATTCTCCGACACATTCATTTGTTGTTGTTGCCAAAATAATTCCAATAATTTCTTGTATAAGATTCTTTACAATCATTCTTTCGTGGTGAATATATTTTGATAACTGTACATATAATCAAAAAGAAATACAAACATGAACTCAAGAAAAGATAACATATGAATATGAATAATAAAAGATCAAATTTTGACTCTCTTATACTATATATACAATTTTATAAAAATTATATATTAGCGGCGGGTTAAGCTAGGCCTAACCCAGTTTCGACCCTATTAATTGACGGTTTGGTGGTTTGACGGGTTGGCAGTTTAGTGATTTGGAAAGTCGAGTTTAATTGGATTGTTAGCGGATTGGGTTGGACAGGTTTCATGGGTTGTCGATTTTCTATACACCCATAAATCTAACCGTCTAGTATTTGTTCTCAAGGTTCCATGATACATACAACTTTAGACCAAGTACTAAGTTTCGAGGTTGTTTGGCTCAAACTAGGGGTGTTCATAGGTTGTTGATTGGGTTGAAATCATTTGAACAACTTAATCCAATGTTTACGGTTTGAAAAAAAATCTCAACCCAACCCAAACCATACGGGTTAGTCGGGTTGATACCTTGGTGTATCAAAATATTCTCTTAATCTTGAACATGTTGTTTTCTGGAATCATAATTTGTTTTTTTTAATCATCATTTGATACAATTTATCTATACTCCTTAAATCTTAAGTATATCATAATCAACTACTTTTCTCAATTTGCATATATATGCTCACTTTTAGAAAACATATATACAAAGAAATTATATTGAGATGGAGAAGAGATTGAAAATATATGTATACAAAGAGGGTACGTGATGGTGTAATTTTCTAAATGTATATATTAATAGACTTAATGTAGAAATATATTAAAATAAAAAATAAATCTAAGTTAGTTTTACCGTTTCCAAACCCTACACCCTTCAAACCCATCTCAAACAATGATATCACCCCCGGCCACTCATTGTCGTGCCATCATTGTCCATCCTTCATATGGACTATCTCACTATTGCCACTTTCATCAATCTTCCTCTTTTTGATCTATTTTAGAGTGTTACAAGTAATTTTACTTTAAAACCTTTCTAGTCGTATAGATATTGGGTTTTTTTGTTAACATGATGTAAGTAACCAATTTTTAAAAGTTTAATCGTTTACTTTATTGAAAAAAAATATTTAGGGATTTAATCATTCAAAATGAAAAAATTTAGTGGTTTTTTCATTCAAAAAAGTAGTTCAAGGACTTAATCATTTTAAATGAGAAAGTTTAATGGCTTTTTAATTAAAAAATAATTCAAAAACTTAATCATTCAAAATAAGATAGTTCGTTGAGGGTTTCAAAACATTTTCCACAATGATGAGGTCATGCCTAGAGCTTTAGGAGTAGGGGTGCACAAAAAACTAACCAAGCCACTAACCGGCTCGACCCGAAAAATAGAGTGACTAACCCAATCCATTTTAACCTGAGGTTTGATTGGTTTATAAAATCTATAAACCGATGAATGTAGGGTTGGTTATGGATTAGCTCCATGTCAAACTGAAAAAATGCATTAAATATGAAAAAATTTATATTAATTAAGAAATTCATATTATAAATTGTAAATGTCTACTACAAAACAACATGTAATTGGTTGGATTGAATTGCAAATTTAAAGAGGGTTGAATAAATTGAGGTTATCTAAATTGAAATAGTTGAGTTGAGCTCAAATCACCTCAAATCGTCCAGCCACGTTGAAACCACAACTTTTTGAATATCTGATTTACAACAGCAAATATGTATATCACATAAACAAACACACATATACGTGAACGAACACGTGTTTTTCCAAAAACACTGAAAAAGTAAGAACAAGTTACAAAAAAAGGGTCATTGAACATGCCAGAGGGTTTAAAATATCGTCCAACGAGTATTACGTTATAAAGATTATCATGATGAACCTTTTAGAACACTCGGTAGGACGGAAACCAAATTTTCTTAACATAACACAAGAATAAAAACAATAAAATAATTTTGAAAGTATAATGTTACAATAAGAAATGTCGCATCAACGATATAATATTTATGGATAGTAAGGTAGAATAAAAACATGATTTAATAGATAAATTTAAATCAAAAACTTATCCAATATTATAATGGATAAATATTTCAAAATATAATAACTTAGTAAAAAATAATTTAAAAATATATTAGTTTAATAAATAAAATTCATGAAAGTAAATTACTATTTTACCCTTTAATTGGAGATTCAAAACAAACATAGCGACATGGGCTTATAAGTTGGGCCGACCCATACCACAGAGAGGAAGAATCCGAGCCGTTAGATTTAGGGCAATCTCTTAACCATTTTCTGCTGCTTTAACTCTCCTACCTCAAAATGTCGCCCTAATTTTCTGTATCTTCACCTCTGTAGTCCAAGGTTCTTGGCTCAAACGCAGGTATGCTTACATTTCATCTTAGTTTACTGATCTTTTATTTCAATATTCGGAAAATGCGAAAGATCGATGCTCAAATTTTGAATGAATTTATTAGTTCAACTCTATAAATTGAATACAATTATCATCGCGCATTAGGTTTGCGTTCTTATAGTAGGATTTGCCTCTAAATCTTCATGGTAATTGCATAATCAAGGTCTCATATTTGAAAGTTACCTCGAGGGTACATTAATTTGGTGATAAAGAATTTATCTAGTTTGAATCTGCTATAGCTTTGTGGAAATTGGGAGGCTATTACTTTTTGTATATGAACAATTTGTTCACTATTTTGTTTGGGAATTGAAGCTACCTTAAATGAATTCTAATTTTATCTCCGTTTCCTCATATTACTATTACTTTGGAAGTGAATTTGTTGGCTCAAATCTATTGACTTTTTATAATTGAAGCTGCTGTTATAATTGCTTTTTCTGCATATTGCTGGTATGGAGTGGGAATGAGGATGCTGTTTATGATGTGCCAAAAAGTTTGAATATTGAGAGATTTTGTTGATAATTCCATGATTATATATCTTTATTGAAATTAGGTTGTATTTAACCCATTATTGGTGATTCTGTATGCTACTGGGGGTTTAACTAGATATACAGTTGTACTTGTAGAAGTAAGGATCCTAAGTCAAAGAATTTGTGTTCATTATCTCTTCAAAATAATAGAAATGGGGATATCTAGTACTTTTTTAATTGGATAGACTCACTATTGAAGTGCAAGTCTTTGATTGTTGTATCGATTTCCACTATGATATTATTTTGAAGGGGCGGTTTGTGAGGCAGGTATACATAAATAAATAGTGTGATGTTTTTTGCAGAGAAGTCATGGTTAAGCATAACAATGTTATCCCAAACGGGCACTTCAAGAAGCATTGGCAGAACTATGTTAAGACATGGTTCAACCAACCTGCCCGCAAAACAAGGAGACGCAATGGTAGGTTTGTGAATTTTTAGTTGAGTCAGTGCTGGTCCTGATGATTCTTCAGATGTTCAATTTTTGATGCTTCATTTCAATTTAAATCTAGTTATTTGTGTATTTATTTTCAGCTAGGCAAGCAAAGGCTGTAAAAGTTTTTCCAAGGCCAGCTGGAGCACTTCGTCCCCAGGTTCATGGACAAACCTTGAAATATAACATGAAACTCAGGGAGGGTCGAGGATTTTCTCTTGAAGAGTTGAAGGTAAGAGTAGTCTGTATTTTTTTAACAGATTTGAAAAAAAGGGCAATACTGATTAGGTTGGGTTGGAGCTTATGTTTTCATTATAATTGCATATTCCTGTTACAACAATTGAGTTTTGAAATCTGGATTACCTTATATGGTCCCAAGTTCTTGCATTGCTTGTTCATAAACACCTGGTAGATGTACTCGTTTTGACCACTTGGTGATTTGTCTGTAAAACAGATTGATGAAACGGTCTTCATGTCAACAGCAAAACAAAAATAAGAAATAAAAAGCAGTAGGTGCAAATGGAGTTCCTATGTCTACTTTAATGTTCTGTATGCTTTTGACATTGTCTTTCATGTTATATCTGATTCTTGTTTTTGAAGTTTTAGCTTGTTTAGCGTCTGCTTTATGAGCATTGGCTCACGTATTTGAACAAACATAATAACAGGCGAGTTTTAATTTGAACGATAATTATTAGATGTGGTTTATGAGATCACTGTTCAAGGAGGGAGGCATATTTGCAATTGAAATTTTAGTTCTTATAGTTTTGGAAGATGTTTGAAGCAATTATACTGTGCATCACTTGATGATGTTCTACTGCTAAACTTCTGTTTCTTGAGTGTATTTGAAAACTTCATGGGGGTGGTTCAATTTTACAAACTGATGTTAATTTGTAAAAACAGGCTGCAGGTATTCCAAAGAAACTTGCTCCAACCATCGGTATCGCTGTGGATCATCGCCGTAGGAATCGGTCTTTGGAAGGCTTGCAAGCTAATGTTCAGAGGCTAAAAACTTTCAAGGCTAAGCTAGTTATCTTCCCAAGACGTGCAAGGAAAACAAAGGTAAACTTTTTTTATCCACATATAACCATAGCTTATTTGTAATTTCTCCAATTTTTCCGTTGTTTTTGAGTTTTAGCCATAAACATTGTAAAAACCAAACGAACCCGGTATATCCTACTCGGAGGTAGGGTATGGGGGTAGGATGTATGCATACCTTTCCTCTACCCGAAGGGTTAGGATAAACACAGCTATGAACCAAGATCTTTTGGCCTTCTTTACATTTTGGTTGGTTTTAACAAGTTTGTTGAATCAGGCGGGTGACTCTACACCAGAGGAGCTTGCAAGTGCTACTCAGGTTCAAGGTCCAGTATTGCCGATTGTAAGGGAGAAGCCAAGTGCTGAATTTGTAAAGGTGACGGAGGAGATGAAATCGTTCAGTGCGTATGCCAAGCTACGCGTTGAAAGGACAAACAAACGCCACCTGGGTGCAAGGCTGAAGAGGGCTGCTGAGGCAGAGAAGGAAGAAAAGAAATAGGTAATAGTCTTGGATTCAAGAGTTGATGAAATTTGTTAGGTTGCAAGCAGTTTTGAATATTGGTTTGTTTGAAGTTCAGAAATTCTGTTACATTTTGTGGTGTCGGGATTTGTGGTTACGATTAGTTTGAACTCTGGCATTCGGGTTTCATTCATTTTACGTTGTTTTTATTTATAGTCTATAGTCGGCTTGAACCGAGTGTTATAAAACAAAACAAAACATGCAAACTATCATCAGCCTGGTTGGGGCTTCGAATTCCCATCTCCGATCCGCAATCCCCATCCCTGTCCCTATCCTAGTCGTGGAATAAGTTTCTGTCCCCGTTCCATCCCTACCATGGAGTAGGGGTGTTCATCTATATCGTCAAACTGCACAAGCCGCCCACACCGCACTGCAAAGCGCAGTTCAAAACATTCGCGATGTGGTTTGCGGTTTATAAACCGCACTTTGTGGTGCAGTTTGCGCTTTTGAGTCATTAAACCACGGTTCAAATTGCATTGCACCGCATGTTTTATATATATATATATATATATATATTTAATATATATATATATATATATATATATTTATACATATAATCATTTATCAAATGAAAATAATTGGAACATTATTGATCATTACAAATTCCTTGTTTGAGTTATCTTAATTGTCTTTTGTTAAACATTGTGTGGTCGAAGTTATTTATAAGTTGACTTTTATAAGATATATTTAGATTAATTACGAACTATTTCCTTTACATTGCCTTTCTGAATTACACCTTTAATATAAGTACCGGAAGTTTTATTTTTATGGAATGTAAGAGCATCATCATCGAGTTTATTATGAAGTTGTGATTGTATAATTATCGGACTAAAATACGTTAGGCTCAAGCCACATCAAATCGCACCAAAAATCGGGTTCCCCCCTCCCCCCCCCTCGACAAAATTTAATTTTTTGTGTAATTATCGTTATATTAGATAATATACATGCTAATTTTACGATTAAACTCCCATCTCATTCTATATTTTTCATCAACCAAAATTTAGTTTTTATATTTTTATAAGAAGTAATACCAAACAAAGGGGATTCAAAAACAAATATATCAACCATAAGGGTGATGCTTGATTGGTTTGAGTTTGACTCCAAAGATCAATAGCCCGAGGTATCTTATGTTCAAATCCAAGGAGGAATAAAAATCTCCTTGTACCCACGGAGGTTCAAATGCGGTGACTTCAGGCTATTTGCAAAGCATGTAGTCGCCCTGAGATTAGTCAACTCGCATAACGGGTTGGATATTCAAGTTAATAAAAAAAAAATATATCAATCATAGTAATTAATAATTAAAAAAATATTATCATACCATAAAAATGTATCTAGAAACAAATAAATCAATATTGTAATATTTTTACAAGTTTCTTCATCATTGAAAATTCATTATATTTAGCATGAATTACATTGAATGTCATTTGGTTCTCTCAAAATTTGAATATTGTCCTTTAAACGCATTATCTACGCCTAAGGTTCTCAACTTTTCATTTTTACAAGACCGACAGGACCTCAAGTTAACAACTTGAGATCTGTTAGCTACCATGTGGCTCTTACACGAGAGACAATTTCATCAAAGGTCTAATTTGATAAATGTTCGTCTTCTATATCTTTAAATTTCATCTTCTTCATCTGCCTTTGTTTATGATGTGTATTGATTATTCAATGTATAAAACACTTATTTTCTAATTTTTAGTTAGTTTATTTTTTTATTATCCCAATCTTAAGTCATTTTTATTACGTTATTTTTACTTTATTGTTTTATGGAGTTAAGTGTATGATTTGCTTGTTTCCACACCATTTAAAGACTAATATGAAAAAAGATACAAGATTGAAGATTGTGTGGTGTTATAGCATTCCTGCAGCAGGGATATGATGGTTTTTTGGCTTTTTGAAGGGCTTATTGAACTAAGCTGGTGAATACTTTTTTGTTTCTAGAAGTCCATGAACTAAACACTTTTTGAGAGATTCAAGGCTGCTAATCTCTTGTTAAGATTATGCCGCAATCTAGTTACTTTAATTGTACTTGGTGTTGACTTTTGATGACTTTGTCCACAAAATTATCTTTTTTGTCTTTTCGTGCCCTATTTTTGCATAAATAGGGAGGTTAGCTCTTTGTATTTGCATCATCAAAACTAGTTCAAGCAATTTTAATATTAAGTCTCGTAATTACTTTCAAGTTTGTTCTTTACTTACCCTCATTTACCTTCCGCTCTTTACATTAAGTCATTTGCTTTCTATAATTTATATTTATGTCTTTACTTTCCATTATTTACTTATCTCGTCATTTACTTTCCGTTATGAGTAGCTAATTCCAGAGCTTTGGTGTGAGAAAAATGGTGAGATTTTAAACCGAAGGAAAGTAAACGTTGTTTTACAATGACAATGTTCCACTATTTCATTCAAGATTTATAAAAACCAATGACACTCCTTAACAAGTTGTTCAATTTGAAAGTGTTTAAGTGCCAAGGTCTTAGAGATAAGCCACTGAATGCACGTCAACTTGAATGATATGACAGATAGACTTAGGAAAGTTGCCAATCATTTATATCTTTCAAACTAATAATTCTCGACAGTTTGGTCACTTGTTAAAGTGTGCTAGATTCAGAGATAAACTACTTAGCACACATGCCAACTTGAATGATATGAGAATCGACTCGAGAGAGTGATTTTTAACAAAAATATTTGTTTATCCATATATATTTTGAGGACACCATTCGTCATTATCCATAATCCTGATACCACATAGAGGTATGAGTTGATAGCTATAATATAATGCAATGGTGGAAGTTCGAGAGGAATACCCTCAAAATAGATGATAGAACTAGTTATGGCTGACTGTTTGCTGTAGCATCCATATATAATTGTCTGCTGGAATTTGTGTTTATGTCTCATCACAAGTCTTACACTCATGCTACATTTATTTATTCAGTTATTTCAATAGTGTTAACTCAACAACCAATCAATGTCTTCAAATTCACCATCTGAAATCTTCTATTTCATTAGACTTTAATTAAACTTTTGCTACAATCTCTTTGAACGATAAAACGGTATTTTACCACTTAAAGTGTTTCTCAGTCTCTTTTACTCCTTCACATTCACACTTTGCACAGACACAATGACGCCTAAATTGTTAAAGTTCTTCCCACAAGGACTTCAATTTCGTGAAGTATATACCAGTTGAATCTCGACGTAGTGCCAAATTCATTATCTCTCTGCGTAATTGGAAAATCTTAGGGGCCATTCCGTTGTTGAAAAAGATCTTTAAGATCGTTCCAGATTTCACAAGCTGTGTCAGGAAACGTGACACTGGTTGAAATTTCTTTGGATACAGAGTTCAATAGCCATGAAATCACGATGTTGTTGTTACATATCCAGGATCTTAACATTAGAGTCTAATTCATCTGGTCTAGGCAACGAACCGTCAACAAAACTTGTGTTGTTTTTAGCACCAAGAGGAGTAACTATCACCATTCAAATGTTGAGAAACCAACACTAAACCATGATTATCTGAGTGATGAAGGAAATAAGGATGCAATCTATCATCGATAGCTAAAATCGGAGGATTTAAAGAAGTGCTTCATGATTCTAGCATAATGAGATCAACAAAGAATGACAAAGCAGATGTAGATCTAAAACAAAGATTGAAAAATACGAAGAATGGAAGAACAAGGTGGAAACGTGCAATAACTGCTCTGATACCATATTTCAACTTGAACAAAATGACAAGGATCTGAACTATTCAATCTGAAAATTGAAAGGAGTTACAACCTATTTATACACAAAACAAAAACTAAAACATATCTTGAATCATCTACCACCATCTACCAACGATAAAACAAGCAAATTATAAAATTACAAAAAGACCCTTGAACCCTAATAACATATGGAAAAATTCGATCAACAATGATATATCATGATTTTTTTCCGTGTTTCAGAATACGGTTAACCAACATGTTAACTAATCGATAACGATGAATGGATCAGGTTTTGCATTTTTTCTTCTGCAGTACCTCGAAGTGACATGAGCTATCTTATAAAGCATATATATATATATATGAAAAATCTTAAGAAGTATGAAAATTATCTATGGAGAGTGTTACATTCTTTTAGACGAAGGAAGTATACAAGAGTTATATATATATATATATATATATATATATATATATATAGAGGGGTGTTATTATACACCCTCTACCATTCATACAACCTATGCAACCTTAATCTAAACCATTCATTTTTTAATCAATGATCCAGATTAAATTCATGGCATAATTGTAATAAAATTGAAGTTGGGAAACACGCGCTG